GGCTCAAAGCAGGCGTTGGTGATCTCGGCCACGGTGAGCTGTTCGTGGTAGGCCTTCTCGGCGGAGATGACGGGGGCGTAGGTGGCCAGAGGGAAGTGGATGCGGGGGTAGGGCACCAGGTTGGTCTGGAACTCGGTCAGATCGACATTCAGGGCTCCATCAAATCTGAGGGAAGCCGTGATGGAAGACACAATCTGGCTAATGAGGCGGTTGAGGTTAGTGTAGGTGGGGCGCTCAATATCGAGGTTTCTACGACAGATGTCATAGATGGCCTCGTTGTCTACCATGAAGGCACAGTCAGAGTGCTCCAGGGTGGTGTGGGTGGTGAGGATGGAGTTGTAAGGCTCTACGACAGCTGTGGAGACCTGCGGGGCTGGGTAAATGGAGAACTCCAGCTTGGACTTCTTGCCATAGTCAACGGAGAGACGCTCCATCAGCAGGGAGGTGAACCCGGAGCCGGTGCCCCCGCCAAAGCTGTGGAAAACCAGGAAGCCCTGCAGACCTGTGCACTGGTCAGCCTGCAGAAGAGTTAATTTTAGTGTTGAGACATCTGATGAAAGCTTCAAATCGACTACCAATACATCTATGACTTGAAAATTTTTAAATAGCATTTGCTAAGAAAACAGTTACAAGAGCTCCTCAGTGCTAAGGGATTCAAAGAACATTCATTCCCAAAGCTGGGGATATAGTTCAGTGGCACAAACACCTGCCTGGCAAGTGTGAGGTCCCAAGTTCGATTCCCAGCACCAAAAGAACCCCAAAACATTCCCCATCAACTCCTGCAAAGCGGGGAGTTCTGCTAAAAAAGCCATTTTAAAAATGAACTTTCACTTTCTCATCAGAGCTCATGTGGCCCGGAAGGGTACAGCGCTCGAGTCTTGTGGCTTCTGGTGCTCTTGCTCTGAAGGGGCAGAAGGGCAACTACTGCACCCTGCAAAATCTGCTCCTGGACAGTGCAGGACATTGAGAATTAAATTAGTATTTGGAGTAGCAAGCAAGCACCAAGACGAGGCACTAGGTGTGGCATCTAGCAAGGTAGTTTACTGACAGATGTGCCTAAGACCTCTTATCAGTGGCGTTTTCTATCACTCACAGGGCTATCTAACAAACTGCTATTCAAAAGACGTTTTTATTGTTTTATAATAGAATCGTGCCATTTAATCCAGGTTGGCCTCGAACTCAGGGCAATCTTCTGCCTCAGTCTCCCAAATCCTGGGATACAGGCGTGCACCACCACCATGCCCAGCTCAAACGATGAATTGTGATCTTTAATAACAAAGTATCCTGTCTTCTCAAAGGTGCTTAGAGATTTGCCAACATATAGATTGGGGATATAGCTCAGTGGCGTGAGTGCCTGCCTGGCAAATGCAAAGTGCTGAGTTCGATTCCCGGTACCAAAGAAAAAAGAGATTTGCCAACACTACC